AATTTAGCTTTATTTTTTGTTACATGATTAAATATTAAATATAATATATATTACATAAATTGAAAATATTATTTAATATCAAAACATGCTCTAATATATTAAAAATTACTATTTTTTAAAATTAATATATCAAAATATTATATCGTGTTTTGTGTTGTGGTGTCGATTTCCAAAGAGAGAATGAAATTTGGATAAAATACAATATTTATTTGTTTTTCGTGAGTGCAGTGTTACTCCCTGCTAACATTATATATTTTTTTATAACGATATATTTTTCTTATGTTTTATGAAAAAAAATATCTTATATTGAAGAAAGAAAAGTATTAATGAGATCTACAAGTAAAAGGAGAGAGAAAAAAGAGTGGTATGATTCAATTTCTTTTTGTGTGTAGGAGTAAAATGAGATAAACATAATCATTTTTTATATTGTAAAACACGAATTATATTATTTTAATGTTACATGTGAACCACGAGTCTTGTACGGGTGTATGATTGAGTACGAAGACTGATTTCTTACTGTGTGCAAGCCATTGTTTAGGGGACAGCGACCATTTTGTCACGTTTCACTAAATTATTTATCAGACTATCACGCGAACAGTAAAAATTTCCGAAATGCCACGCGGCATAATTCGCTACACTGTGCAGCGAATTATGTTTGCAAATAATTCGCTACACAGTGTAGCGAAATATGCAGTGTCAGGCTGCACAGTTAGCAAAAATGACACGTGTCAAGCTGGCAGCATAATAGGCATAATTCGCTACACACCCTAGTGAATTACTGTCAGCTTAACACGTGTCATTTTTGCTGACTGTGCAGCCTGACACTGCATATTTCGCTACACTGTGTAGCGAATTATTTGCAAACATAATTCACTGCACCGTGTAGCGAATTATGCCGCGTGGCATTCTGGGAATTTTTACTGTTCGTGTGGCAGTCTGGTAAATAATTTGGTGAAGCGTGGCAAAATGGTCACTCTCCCAGTTGTTTAGAGTCACAAAAAACAGCATTTTCAAAAAAAAAAAAAAAGTCACAAAAAAGAAACCTCGTTTTATGTGCATAAAGTTAAAGCACAAATGTGACAAACATAAACAATACGAAATGTTATTATAAAATGACAAATAGAAAGAGAATATAAAGGGAAATAGTACTCTTATGCTACATAAGAGTACATCATTTTCCTACACTAATTCGTTTTCCGTGCCAATTAATTTTTCTTTTCTTTTTTAATATAAAATATGGGACCCACATTTAATTTCTCTCTACTTTTTTTCTCTCCTACAATCCTACAACATAAAAAAACTTAAACCCGAATATAAATGGGTCCTGAAAAAGCATCCTTGCCCTGACATAATAATTGTCCTAAGTTGTACCAAAAAAGAAATATCTAGCTTTTGCGTTGGCAAATAATTGAGTGATTTTTGTGATATTTCAGATAAGATAAGGCAATTTTTTAATGAAAATAAAAAATTAGTTAATAATATTTAGTTATATTATTTGTAATATATTTTTCTTAGAGAGGTGTTAAAATACAAAGAACACCTAATGTGCTCAGCAAAAAAAATTAATTTATTATTTTTTAAATAAAAAATTATGAATTTATGACTGTTTTAAAAATAATTACACATTTATTGCATAATATCATGCTCAATTTGGGTATCACCAATCACGTCTAAATTGGGAGTCACTCAAGAGGTATTCACGCCTAAACTCATTAGGTATTAACACGTCTCGTATTTTTTTCCAAAAAAAAAAGTAACAATTTAATCGTAAAACTCCTGAAGGCCATAACTTTTGACTCGAGTATCCAAATCAGGTAATTCTTTTTTTGATTCCACATAACTTTTTGAAATCTACGCAATGATATCTCATTTGACATATTTTATTTCTCACAAACACAATTTAAATTTGCAAGAATGATATTATAAGAGCGGTTAAACCCAGAAGCCTTTGAGTTCTGCGTTTGTGATTTAATATAAAAAAATAAATAAATATTTGGTTTGTGATTTAAATTAAAAAATAAAAATAAAAATTACTATTAAAAAGGAAAACAAAATAAAGATTTGATTTGTGATTTAAACTCACAAATCAATTTGAAAAATATGTATTAATAAAGGAATAAATATTCTAAATCTCTAAGGAAGAAGGATTTTATTTTTGAAAAACATTCATAAGCCATCATTAATTTCAGACCACGAACAATAACCCAGAAGCTTATAGTATTAATCATTAATTTCAAAAATAAAATCCTTCTTCCTTAGAGATTTAGAATATTATTTAATTATTTCCTTTATTAATACAGATTTTTCAAATTAATTTTTGAGTTTAAATCACAAATCAAATCTTTATTTATTTTTTTATATTAAATCACAAATCCAGAACTCGGAGGCTTTTTGGTTTAACCGCTCTTATAATACTATTCTTGCAAATTTAAATTGTGTTTGTGAGAAATAAAATATGTCAAATAAGATGTCATTACGCAAATCTCAAAAAATTATGTGGAATCAAAAAAAAGAATTACCTGGTTTGGATACCCGAGTCAAAAGTTATGACCTTCAGATGTTTTATGATTAAATTGTTAAATTTTTTTTTGGAAAAAAATGTGACACGTGTCAACACCTGATGAGTGACGCCTAAATTAGACGTGATTCCCTCTTGAGTGACGCCCAATTTAAACGTGATTGGTGACGTCCAAATTGGACGTGATATTATACAATAAATAATAATTATTTTTAAAATTGTCATAAATTCATAATTTTTTATTTAAAAAATAATATATCAATTTTTTTGCCGTATCCCTGCTTATGAACCCGTATAAGCTGAATTGTTGATAAGCAAGGGGCGAGGTTCCATCGATTGCAGCATCATTTCCTATTATACCTATAACTTCATTTTTCCGCCTCTGTTGAGTGTTAGAATAATGTTAATCTCGCTTTTTTTTTGGGGACATTGACTCTTTTACTATTGTTTGTAATATTATTTATCATAATATCCACTGAAACTTTTTTAAAAATGTCACGTCACATTCTCATTATACCAACAAATGAGACTAGATTGGATACGTGGTATAGTGTCTTGCTGGCCACAAATCTTATCTAGCAATGCAACAAGATTTGTGGTCAATATCGCAGACTGTCACATCTTTAAAAAGTTGTCCACCTGACTAATTTCATTGGACTAACCAGCGAGATTAGGTGGACTTTTTCTACGTGTCAACACGCTGCATATCTTGCTGGGCTGCTGGTCGAGTTTAGTTCAGATATTTTCACATGTCAACACCCTGACCTACCTCTAGGCTACTAACCGATTTTTATAATTCTACATATAGTAACTAAACTTCGTTTCTTTTGGTGATCCAGAGTCAAAGTATTAAATATCTACCTCACACTTCCATCTACCCATATTCATAGGTGATTGTGTGCAACGTATTTGTTTTTCTATTTATACAATAATATGGAAAATATATATATCATAATTCTTTTGTCCTAATTTTTATAATGAGTTAGTATTATTGTTATCTCTTTAATAAATATATAGTCCTTACAACTTTAACTTATTCAATAATTACCATTAATTTTTGAAATTTATAATTAAATACTATCAATTTTTTCCTCAACCACAACATTACCCCCTTCTAATATATTTTTTTTGTCTCGAAATAACTGAATTTCTCTAATTGATGCGCATGAAAATTTTGACATTTATAAAGTAACAAAACCTAATAATTAACTATAAACGTAACTTAAATGATAATTAGCATGGTACTCTCGTAGGGGTTTGGCTGCACATAACTCGCCAGCCTACTGTAACGCCCAGCCGCTTCAAGAATCAACGATTATCTCCACATTCTAACACGAGACTTTTCAGTGTGTTTTTTTCTCACTCGCACACTTCTTGAGAAAACTTTCTAGGAGATCACCCATCCCATAATTTCTCCAAGTCAAGCACGCTTAATTGTGGAGTTCTTCTGTTCCGGGCTACCGGAAAGCATATGCATCTTGTTAGTATAGGTAGTACCAATTAACACGAGACTTTTCAGTGTGCTTTTTCCTCACTCGCACACTTCCCGGGAAAACTTCCCAGGAGGTCACCCATCCCAGAATTGCTCCAAGTCAAGCACGCTTAACTGTGGAGTTCTTCCGTTCCGGACTACCGAAAAGCAGATGCATCTTGTTAGTATAGTTAGTACCACTTAATTCTTATAAGCAATTCCCAACTGTACCGTCCCATACTAGCACAGTCCCTGGAATCCCTCTCTTTCGGGTGTTGATTCGATTCATTCATGTACCCCCTCACTGGAAACCTGCCAGGAGCCGCTCATTGTCCATGCCCTTTCGCACCGGCGATCACTCCCCGCCCTTGTCAGCACCCGGGATGTGACACCTACCAAGCGAGATTCATGCGGTTGTGACACGTGTCACACATGCATCTATTGGGTGTACGATTGCCTATAATCTCAGTCAGCAGCCCAGCGAGATACGCAAGGTGCTAACACGTGAAGAAAGTCACCTAATCTCGCTGGGCAGCCCAGCAAGATTAGCCAGGTGAATAGCTTTTTGCAGATGTGGCAATCTGCCACATTGATCACAAATCTCGCCACACTGCTAGGCGAGATTTGTGGCCTATATATAAGATACTGCCATGTGTCCAATCCAGTCTCGCTTGTTGACGTAGCGAGAATATGATATGATATTTTGAAAAATTCGAATAGATAGTGGCATTGTGATAAATAGTACTCCAAACAGTGACAAAAAGGTAATTGTCCCTACTTCTTTGCCAACTCAAATCTCATTGGAGTTGCTTGTGTGGATAGCTCATGATAGAACACGCAAATGGGAAAAGGTAAAATCTCACTGACTCTATATTTGAAGCCCTTGTTGTGTTCCAAAAACACAAGTTAAATTAAAACATCCAAGTACACTTTTTCACAGCTATAGTCACATCATTTGATTCCAGAGAAAAGCTTCTATATCTTCGTACTTCTCTGGGTTCCCTCTTAAACATGAAGCTATTCGTGTTTACTCTAGCATGGGCTTTTGCTCTTCTAGCTTCATCATTGGCTTTTGCCGCTACAGTTGAACACACTTTCAAGGTGATTGGCTACCTCCTTTGATTTTCATTTGCTCTGATACCTTATATTGTTGTGTCTGTTTCTCTATATAAGAACCTTAGTATCTACGTTTTCTTTTGTTTTTTTGGTGCGTTAACCAGTTGTCAAATCCTTACGTAACTTAACAATTTACAACACACTTGGTTGTTAATTAGCGTCTACCCTTTCTCAAATTTAATATTGATACATAATTTCGTCGTACATATATATATATATATATATATATATATGGAGAAAGATTGTATTTACAATCTATTTTTGTTTATAATCTCTTACAATTATATTTTAACCTTTGATTTTCGTCAATCAATAATTATCATTTATTGCAAATTAATAATTAATTAATGAGTTTAATACAAAAATAATAAATGTTGATTGACGAAAATTAACAGTTAATATATGGTTGTAAGAAGTTGTAAACGAAAATAGGTTATACGTATAACTTTTCTTATATATATAGGCAAAAAAATTAATTTATTGTTTTTTTAATAAAAAATTATGTAAATGTAGTCGTTTTGAAATTAAATATGAATCTATTATACTCAAACACGCCTAGAATAGGCGTGACCACTCACACCCATAAACAGACGTGACCCCCAGGAGAGAGACAGTGACCTGAGAGGAAAGAGACACGTCCCATTTAGGCGTGACCTAGGAAGAAACACGTCCAATCTGAGCGTAAACGAAGCTTATACTGATTGATTGATTGATTTTTACCTTCCAGCTTTCGAGAGACCATTGATTTATCTTTTCTCTTTTTTTTTGGTTAAATGTCACTGATTTTTTACTTGTCTTGAAGGCCAAAATCTTCTGACGTCATGTCTCTCCTAAGTTCAACAAATATTTTCACAACATAATTTTCAATCATACAGGTGAAGATTTGCTCGACTTCACTTGGCTTTATATGTGTCATATTCTAAATCCAATGTTCCAAAAGTCACAGCAAACTTCCTTTTTCTTAATTTATGATGAATGTTTGTTTTAAAAAAAAAATTGTGAGAACGACAGGTGAGGACAGGGATGGTGGTATCATAAATGAAATTGTGTTGAATATGACAAAAAAAAAGAAGAAGAAAAAGAAAGTTGTTGAATAGTCTCCAGTCGAAATGCTAAAATAGCTCACTGAAGGCTGAATGTTCCATTAAAAAAATAGCTCACTGTCAAATTATTTTTTTAAGTATGCGATCACGCCTAAGAGGGCGTGTTTTCCTTTTGGGTCACGCCGCATCTAGGCGTGTCTCTCTCACTCAGCTCACGTTTTATCTGGGCGTATTTCTCTCATCACTCACGTTTCATTTGGGCGTGTTTCTCTCCTAATAGTCACGTCCCATTTAGGCGTGTTTAACTGCTATATTTGTGTAAATAATTTTAAAACGACTACATTTTCGTAATTTTTTATTAAAAAAATAATAAATTAATTTTTTTGCCTATATATATATTCATATTTTTACATTAATTTTCATACATTGCAGGTTCAAAACAAGACTATCAAACGCTTGTGCAATGAGCGAGTGATTGTAACAGTGAATGGACATTTCCCTGGACCACAGATAAATGTCCGCGAAGGTGACACTGTGATTGTCCATGTATTCAATGAGGCACCATACAATATCACCATTCATTGGTAAATGTTCCTCCATCATATATGTTTACATGTCCTTCAAGAATTTGATAAAATAGCATAAAATCTTTTCTCTACACAGATTCTTGACGTTTGCATGTACGTACTCTATATACTATCAATACTGTTGGAATCTTGCTTTTTTTTTCATTCATATTAATAAGACGTCATTAATAAGGCTTTTAACCATATATTTGTAGGCATGGAGTGTTTCAGCTCTTTAGTGGTTGGGCAGATGGTCCTGAATATGTAACTCAATGCACAATTAGTCAAGGAAATAAATATACTTATAAATTCAACGTGACAAAACAAGACGGAACATTATGGTGGCACGCTCATGCATCTGTTTTACGATCCACAGTTCATGGTGCTTTCATCATTCACCCTCGTTTTGGAGGATTCCCGTTTCCTAAACCCTACAAGCAAGTTCCCATTATATTAGGTATTATCTTTTGTTAAGTTTGTTCACTCCCCTTTGACATATTTTTCCCTTATGCATATAATAAGTCTTCTCCATCTCTTAATTAAGCATTGCATTACTTCAAAAGATTGTAATATTTTCCATGACAGGAAAAAAGTAATTTTTTTTTTAATGAAGGTGATTGGTATAATGTTAATGTTGTGGATGATGTAACCCAAGCACTCGCCACTGGAGGAGCTCCTGGGTTATCTGATGCTTTCACAATCAACGGCTTCCCTGGCAATCTCTTCAATTGTTCTAGAAATCGTATGTTACCTCCTTGAACACTAGTGTGCAATATTAAGACACAATTAATTACTGTACTTTGGAAGTCTGATTGCTTTTTAGATTTGCTTATGGATATGAAAAAGTTTTAATAGATCTATTACATGAAAGTATTTTTCGTGCTTCTGTTACACGAGTACTCCGTACATCGTTTATGAAATATGGCAAACAGTAACACTTTTAAACTACTAAGTTTATATTTACTTCAACTCATATCTTATTTTTTTCACTTTTTGACAAAGGAGTAGGTACTTGTGTTTTACAAAAAAAATAATTGAGTTCCTGTTGTAGATGTAATATACAATCATTTGTGTATTGTCTAATAATTTAAGTTTTTGTGAGAGTTAGTTTATGGGAAATGATTTTTGGGATATATTTATCTCATGTTGCATGAGATAATTATCTCATGCAACAGATACAAGATAGTGAGGTTTACTGTTTTTTTTTTTTAAATAGTGGATCCCACTAATTTGTCTATGTTGCATGAGATAATTATCTCATGTAACATGATATAATTATTTCCCATAATTTTTTTTTAATTTTTAAGAAATGAGTTATCTAATGTAGTAGAAATAAAATTACAAATGAGGCTCATAGATAAGAGTAGAGAAAAAAAAATAGAGGTGAGATCCACTCCTCTTTTATGTGTATACAAAATTTATTAACTGTCTTATGCAACATAAGAGAAGTATAACCTTTAATTTATAACATATTATCAAAACCTCAATGATCAAGTTATATGAAATTCGATCTTTATCACCACATTTAAAAAAAAAAATTTAATTTAAGCACAAGATAAATTAATCTTGCGTAGTTTATGCTTAATCCTTCTAGGGACTTATTTTAGGCTTGATCCGCTTATCCATGTTTCAATCTCATAGGCTCTTGCCTTTTAGCATAAGAACACATTTTACAAATGTAATATAAAAACCATTGAGCGGTCTACTCAAAACATGTGAAATCATCAATAAGGTTCATTTATTCAACATTTGAACTCTTTGAAACTCGTGAATCTAAAGTCCATGTATGTACTATCTTTTGAACATAATTCAGAGACGTTCAAGATGAAGGTGAAGCAAAGAAAGACCTACTTGCTACGAATGGTCAACGCTGCACTCAATAACGATTTTTTCTTCAAGATAGCAAATCACAGTTTCACTGTTGTCGCTGTTGATGCTGAATACACCAACCACTTTGTCACCGACATCATTATCATCGCCCCTGGCCAAACCGCTGATGTTCTATTCACAGCAAATCAATCCACAGGTTCATACTACATGGCTGCATCTCCTTATAGTGATGGTGGTCCTGCCCTCGGCAACAAGACAACTCGTGGGATTGTCGTTTACGACGATGCATCATCATCATCATCACAACCCATGATGCCATCTCTACCACCCGTAGACGACACACCAACAGCTTTCAAGTTCTACAGCAACTTAACAAGCTTGGTAGGGGCCCCACATTGGGTTCCTGTCCCACTTGAGGTGGATGAGAACATGTTCATCACCGTTGGATTAAACCTACAAAGGTGTGATCCTGTGAATGCCACCAATGCCACGTGTCAGGGTCCATCCCATCACAGATATTCTTCCAGCATGAACAATGAGTCCTTTGTGCTCCCTAGTGGGAGAGGGTTCTCTATGTTGGAAGCGTTCTTTAAAAATGTCATTGGGGTTTACACTGCTGATTTTCCTAACAACCCTCCAATTTTGTTTGACTTCACAAATCCGAACATTAGTTCCAATGAAAACCTTATATTTGCGCCAAAATCAACCAAGGCTAAGAAACTCAAGTTCAATTCAACTGTGGAGATTGTGTTCCAAAATACAGCATTTATTGGTGTGCAGAACCATCCCATGCACATTCATGGTTTTAGCTTCCATGTTTTGGCTCTCGGGTTTGGGAATTTCAATTCCACTAGAGATAAAGCCAAGTTTAATTTGGTGAATCCTCAAATACGTAACACAATTGGTGTGCCTGTAGGAGGATGGGCTGTCATCAGATTCCAAGCAAACAATCCAGGTATTAAATTTTCTTTATTCCATTACTTCACCAAATTAAAAAATAAATAAAAAATAAAATGCTACCTCAACAATTTGTCATTTTACAATTTTTTATAATTGTTTACGTTGTTACATTACATTACATTTGATTTTGATAAAAAAATAAAAAACATGTAAAACTGTTGTGTAAGTAACTACTGCAATGCTATTCAGATGTAGCCATATATTAGCACTTGTTGTTTATAATATTAATAGTTTGAATTAGTAATCTTAGAATTGATGATGATAGCACACACTAATATAATATCTTCATTATATTGAAGGAGTATGGCTTGTGCATTGCCATATGGAAGATCATGTGCCATGGGGACTAGACATGGCTTTTGAGGTTGAGAATGGACCAACTCCTTCAACATCACTCCCTCCACCACCTTCTGATCTACCTAAATGTTAACTACACTGTAGAGTGCAGCACTGCATATCAGAAATCAACTCTCTCGCATTTTCTTCTAGTTGTATTACAAGTATATCTAGTACCTAATGTTATTTGAATATTGTTTTTGTAGAAAATAAAAGTCGGTATCGATGCCGAGTAAAATAAATTATTCTACGACTAATTTTGGAATTTCGAAGCGAGATGTTGTAACCGACAGTGCAAGCCAATAATATAAATAAGAACAATTGTTCCAGTTGTGTAGGAATGAAGTAGCGGATTAATTACTGCACCAAATTGATTAAGTATCTTGTGAGACAGATAATTGTTTGCGTAGACACACACTAAGTGTGTTTTTATGTGGAAAAGTAAGAGCGGGTGAAGTTAAATGCTGATGGTAAAGAGTGTTCTAGTTTGTAAATCATTTTTACAGCAACAGTAATGTTATTCTTACATTTTGATTCATGCTCCTCTCGTTTACATTATGGGAAGAAAGGGAGAAAGAATAAAAATAAAATAAAATAAAAAAGGAGAAGTTTGGAGATATATTTAGTTTGCGAAAATGTTTAGTATTTGTATTATGGGAAAATATTCTCTCATTTTATATGAGATAATTATCTTATGCTTTTCTCACATAAAAAATTATGTTATTATTTTTTTTAATGGATGGTGGATCTCACTACATTATGTATTTATAATAAAAAATAACTATCTCTAAAATATTACCTCTTGTATTATATTTTCTTTATCTCATGGTGGGTTTTATAGCTTCCATTCATAGAACTGGGTATACGGGTCGAGGCCCACATGCCAATCCATTTAACCCACAATTTGCATTGTTTAAGTGAGACTCCAGGTAACCCGTGGTTTAAACAAATTATGGCCCAACTTGCTAATCTGCATAGTTATTTCATTTTTTTTCTTTTTTCCTTTTAACAATTTTTTAAATTTTTTTTTAATGGGATGGTGACCAATCTCATTACAAAAGAATCAAAATATCTTATTTTTATAAAAAAATGAACCATGAGCAATTGACCTTGTACTTCTAGACATTCTATCATTGCATGACTTGTTATAGTTGTTAGATTGAATTTAGATACGTAGTACTTGCCACTTCTTTGCATTTAATTTGTCTGATTAACAGAAAAGAAAATTTAGAGTTGAAATTGATAGATAAATTAATTTCAAATATTTATATATGAATATAATGTTTCTGCTATAAATGAATGAAATATAACTTTATCTTTTAGACACATGTAATTAGATGGACCCCACTTTTTTTTTCTCTCTTGTCTTTCCCTCTTGTATGTACGTGCTATTAACCCAAATTTTTTATAAAACAATTAATGATGGTTTTACAATTAAAAAAAGGAATTTGCATCTATTCTGTCACATGACACACAAAAATTTCCTACACACACAACATATTGTCGGGCTCGCAATTTTTAAAGCAAAAAAATAAAATAAAAAAATTAAGGCACGCAAAACGAATCTCTATAACATTACACAATTATTTTTCCTGCAACATAACTCTTATGAAACCATTAAAAACAACACATAAGAGAAAAGAAACAAGCCAGCTTGATATATATTGCGGTGCAGACGTGGGGCCTACAGTTTTAGTCCTATTTAAATCGTGCGACGACACGATCCAACACATTTATTAGTCCATTGCAAATCGGGCTGCATGCATACCCACCTTTATCCACAAGTTTTACTTCAGACACCCATATATGGGAGGTTAGCAACTTTCAAAAATTTTATAGGACAAAAATACAAAAGAATTCTTTATCAAATAACTAGTCTTAAGGATATATAAGTAATTTGGAATTATTAAATTTAATGAAAAAAGAGAAAAGTTTAACATACTTTTATAAAGAAATAGAATTTGACTTTGTTATTGACCATATTATTTAATTTTCAATTATTAAATATTAAAATGTGTTACAATATTCAATATATAAATTTATTCAAAAAGAATAAAAATATTTTAATTTAAAATATAACACTACATACCCACAAAAAAGATTGTTGTTGTGCATATTAGCGGGATGTGTATGGTTTAGTTCGGTTTGTTTTTTTGCCTAACTGAACTGAATTGAAAAAAATAATTCATTTTTTAAGAATTGAATTTGTAATGTCCCAAGTACTGGCAAGGGTAGAGAGTGATTGCCGGTGTGAAATGACATGGACAATGAGCGGCTCATGCCAAATCTTGTAGCTGGGATACTTGAAAGAATCGAATAACATCCGAAAGAGGGTAGCTCAGTTGGCAACTGAACTCCTAAGGGTTTGCTAGAGTCAGGTTTAAATCCTGCCTCAAGCAAATTCTTGGAAAATCTTTGGGGGCCAGAGGATGTGCCTCCTTCCTCGATTGGGGGATTAGTCTCATCCTTCCTCCGGTAGCGAAGCTCAATGCACCTGCTGTTTCAATTAGGGGCTAGCCTATAGGGTCGTACCCCGAGAGCAAGGTGATCGAAGGAGGTTGAATAGGGATACCTCCAGTTATACCAAAAAAAAAAGGATGGATTCCAGAGTGCTGGTATGGGACGGTACAGTTAGAGATAGCTTATAAGAATTAAGTGCTGGTATGGGATGGTGCAGTTAGAGATAGCTTATAAGAATTAATTTGTACTACCTATACTAACAAGATGTATCTACTTTTCGGTAGCTCGGAATGGAAGAACTCCATAATTAAGCGTGCTTGACTTAGAGTAATTCTGGGGTGAGTGATGTAAGAACCCGCACCGTTAATTAAGGAAGTTAATTAATTATTTGTGAGAAATTAGGAAACAATTTCATAATTGACCCTAATATTTATGAGAAGACTTGAATAATTATATAAAGTAATTAATAATGTTGAAAGTCGCTTTTCTGATGAAAAGTGCAGATAATGGTTCTGCTCCACGGTATAAATGCGTACCAGTGAAGTATCCCAGAAAATGATAATAAGTGTGGAAATATTCCTAGAATAATATATAGGACTAGCATAACAAGATTGAAGTCAAAATAATGAGAACTGATATCAGAACTAATACTGTCAGCGTGAAAATGCGTACCGAAAAATGTTACGAAAAATTAAAATTAAAATATGACAAATCCTAGAAAAATAGCTAGGTTCAGAATATGAAGTTTGAGATTAAAATGATAAGCATAGCTATTAACGCTAATAGTGAACAATTAAACTTAAGCGCACCTATAAATACCCAAGGACACATGATCCTAGGTCAGCTCTTCATCTTCTACGTAGCATTTTCTGAACCTAGGGAGGCAGTCACCTTCTCCCATCTTATCTCCTCCATTGAAGCTCCAAGGGAGCACCTTTTCACTTAGTTCCTTCACCAAAATTGCTTGTAAGAGTGTGCTCTAACCATAGGTGGGTAAAAGTCCAGCCATTTCTGAGTTGTGGGTGTTGTGGTGAGTGATGGAGCTGCTGACTTTGAGGTTGTGAGGTGTGGGAGCCATCTTCATGCCATTTTGAGCTTCATGGTGCCTTTTTGATGGAGAAAGGTCCAACCTTGTGGTACATTTTCGTGCTCTTGCAAAGTCAGATCATTGGAGCTGCATAGAGAGCTCCAAGAGCACCCTTTTTGCTGTTTTGAAGCTCATGGATATATGCCTCAACACTTCCCTTTGTGTTTTCATGAATACAACATGAATTGAAGATGTAAAATGATGAGTTTTTATAATTTGAACGTTGGTTGATGAATCTAAGTGTTAAAATTCATGCTAAATCGATGGGATATATGTATCTAGGTGAAAGATGGAATTTTAAATGGATATTTTCATGCTAGGCTGCTATTTTTGGCCTCTGTCGTGAAATATCCGGATATGATATCCGAATATTAAGACAACAACGAACCTGTTTCGTTAAAAATTCGATATCTTGAGTTACAGAGCTCCAAATTGAGTGCCGTTTGGACCTATGTGAAGCTAACACGTAGGGCTACAACCTTGTAAAATTTATAAGTCATTGTATAAGTGGTTTGATCTCAGTGTTAGTTTGAAGTCGCGTCTTGGTTGCTGGAAATTCAGTTTGCAGCAGTCACTTTGCGAAAATTATAACCGGAGTTATACAACTCCGATTGAGACATAGAATATGTAGTTGGAAAGCTTGTGATGTCTAGTTTAACATATTAAAGTATCAAAATTTTTGGTATAGATTTGCAACTTCAGTTTTAAAAATGGTAAGCGAAGTTTGTTGTCGTATTCGTAAATAGAGTTGAATTCTTTGGAATGTTCTTCAAGGAAATGAATTATAGACTCTATGGTACTTGTAAGTGATGTTCTAAGGTTAAGGGAACTTAGGGAGTGGACTTAGTTTCTCCCACCTTGAGTTGGTGTCACTACGTAAAGAATGGCTACGTAAAAGATAATACATAAAAGAATGTCGTAAACGAGCATATTTATTAATTGTCTTTATATCTTGAAATAGGTTGTGATTTTGTGAGGGCCTATGATTGTGGTCCTTTGGATACTAAGAGTTCATTGGTTGCACTAGTGTGTGTAATAGATGTATTCCTGCATTTCTCTGGTCAATAGATTAGTTATAACACACATGACATGATTATCTGCTGCATTGCACTGACTTTTGGAACTTATATTGTTAAACTGCTTTTATAACTTATATTGCACATGTAAGTGAGCTTGGGGTGGAGAAATCTTTGAGGACCCCTTGTCTTACTGAGATTTCTGTTTAGAGATCTCACCCCACGTTTGGGGCACTTATTTCAGGTTCTGGTAACCAGGGGTTGAGACCTCTAGCGGCAGGAGGCCGGAGCTTAGTTGATTGATATGCTTGCTGATTATGTTGTTGTACCTGTTTAGCGATTATGCTTTATTCATTATCATGCTGTTTGTATTGAGACTTGATGAGTATTCCGTTTATTTGGTGAGCATGAGGATTGTCCATGTCACATTATTTGACATTGTTTTGGTTTATTTGAGTTGTATAAACTATCAGGTTTTGTCCGGACTATGTGTTGCAGATCTGTGACTTAGATACTCACTTATTTATTACG